GACATCAACATTTGCATTATTGCCAGTCTCTTGCATTCTGTAAAATACATAATACTTTTCATAACAATACATACTAACAAATTAAATATGATTCGAACCTATTAAATAATAATTTTAAAGAAACATTTAATTACATACATCTCTTGTTGCACCGTTTTATTTTGCTCTTCCATACTTTGTATAGCTGCTTTATTTATATTTTTTGCAACTTCTTCCATATCTTGTGTTTTGTTTGTTTCTACATTTATTACAATTTCTTCCTGCGATAAACGCTGTTTCTGTTGTGCGTATTGCACAAGTTCTGTGTATGTTGGAACAAATGACTTAACTCTGAAAGAATATTATAAGGCATTAATTTCATTTGTACATTTATATATACAGATACACACATGTTAAAATACTCACGGTACTTTAATTTTTTTGTTGTCTTCTTTGCTCTGCGACATATCTTTTCGCTTTTTTTCTAGATTTAATGTTGGAACAGATCCCTGTTTCAACCTTAATACTTCTTTAGCTGGTTTATTTTGTAATCGTGGTTTTGTCTTCTCAAGCACCAAACAATTTTCATCAAAATGGATTGCGCATATCCTTGCTGTAAGCATATTATATCATAATATAACACATGCAATAATGACATTGTATTGAGTTGGAAGTTAAAACATTAACTTAATTATCATTTTCTTTACATTAACTTACCCGAATCAACATTCATATCCGTTTCTTTTCTTTGGCAGGCATTAAGCCATTGCTGACGAATAGATGTTTCTTTAGGAAAAGTAAAATACTTAATTCCTTTCGTCCCATTATGATTCGTACGATTCTTACAATTTTTTATACAGCACGTTGGCATAGCTTCTCCGCAAAAATAAAATATCTAATATCACACAATATAATCTAATATCACACAATGTAACCTTTAACTGTACTTCACAATACTATGGGAGGAGCCATATTGCTTTTGGCATCTTGGATAAAGTTCTGATTGGTCAAAGAAAATGACGACTGCGCATCCTCGAAATTGTTACACCTGTCTTCTAACACCATGGTTTTATGGGGCAAAACGTACAAAAAATTGTGAAATTGCTTAAGGAGCATATGCAAAATTAAGGTTTTGGGAACTGTTACGGGAACAAATAAATCTTACATATTTTTACGTATTTTGAGTCGTATAATCCGAAAACGACAATAAAGGTGGTTCTGCATTAGTCGCAAGCAATCCATATTGTCGCAAGTTACAAGAAGCTTGCAATTTGAGTTTTTACATTACAGTCGTAGAGAATTGTTGTAAAAATGTCATTTCAAGCAAGCAGAACCGATTAAGCGATAAAAATTTTTTTTATATATAATTATATATAACTATATAAAATTATACAGAAATATACAAAGTTATGTATAAGCTATTGTATAATTATGGGGCGTTCCACGCCAAATCGGACACCATTTGGCTTTTGCATCTCCGATTTTTTTGCAAATTTTTTATGTTATAGTATTGGTTGAAAGTGGAAAAATCCGATGCAAAATTACGAAATTTATAAATAATATACCTTTTGCAAGAAACATAATATATTCAAGTAGATTTAAATAAGAATAACGTATATTTTTTGTCATAATTATATAATCCGTAGTGACGTAAAACCATTAATGACATTATTGTAATCCTGATAAAAATAAAAGCATACAGCAAGCATTGGCGAAATATATGAAAGAAGCATAAGTGTAGCGAGGAAAGAGTAACGAAATCTTCTTTTTTTTGTAAATGTTACATATATGTATAGTTTTTCCAAGTGGACATCCGTTCAAATGGTAAACATATCTTACATATTGCTTAATTTCTGTAATCGGAGAAGAACTATAGTACTTAGAGTGATGATACACTTAAATATTAATCGCATAAATATATGATATGCATATCTGACAAATATATAATATACAATATATTTGCGTGATAGGATTTATTGGTAAGTTTTAAATAGTTGTTAAAACTACATATACATATACGTACATATACATACATAATGTATATATCGAATCTTATGGAAAAAGTGGCAATCACTGTTTTTATGCCTTGCAATACCTTGTGCAATAATAAAATAATAAAATACAATAATTTAACACTAAATTATAGCAATTGATATACATATGTTTCATAAAAGCAATTGTTTCCTTCTTGGCATTGTAAACTGTAGTAAATAAATGATTCTATTCTGTATATTCATAAAAACACTCGTTTATCTTTGTTTGTTAATGATTCATAAAATATTCTTATATACGCGGTACTTCGGAGAAGCGACATAAAGACTCGCGCATCAAGTGTACTGTGACTGTTATATGAGCCGGCATTAAGAATTAATAAGATACATTCGCAATCGGGAATCTGATACTTGAAGCTGTTTAACTTATAAAGTTACTATTGATTAAAAATAAATAACATTATAATAATGTTACTAAGTAATAACTTTTAGCGTTTTCTATTCTAATTCGCGGAAAATTAGTGTTACCATAAATAAGAAAATATTTTATAATTTTTTCAATATTTTTTTATTTAATTGACAATTATATAAAAATACTTTACAATATACTATTTTATAATTTGTTCTATATATATATATATATATATATATATACACAAATATTGAACAAATTATAAAATATTAATAAAAAGATAGAAATATTGAAAAAATTATAAAATATTTTCTTATTTATGGCAACTCATATGCTAATTTCTGTTTTGTCTTTCATACACTTTTAGCATTACCACCTCGTCGATGATAAAAGATTTGTACATTTCTGATGATAAAACAGTGATTATATAAGGTAAAACTCGATCCTTCTTTCGGAATAGTCGAATAGCCAAAACAGTCGATAATGTCAGTATTCTTCAATTATCACCGAGCCCCCGGGCCAGTCACGAAAATTTACCCAGGGTTGTCGGTCTTTAATAGTATCTCGTCGGTACAATTACTCAATCAATTAATTACAAAGGTCTGTCGACTTTGAGAAACGGCTAAGTGCGGATACTTTATCAAACGACTGCGCCAACCGTCGCTCCGTTAGTTGTTTTATTATCTTTGACCTTCCAGAAGGTTCTCCAGACAGGAAGGGGTATTACTTGCCATTAACGAAACCTTCTAGAAAATCAGAGACAAATTGCGGGAATTAGCATTGGCTAAATTACGGCTTTCAAGCAGTAGGCGCTTGTAATTGGGCGCCGCGGTACCGAGGTAGGCGCAAGTTCTCGGTGCGTTCACATTGCGCGCGCTAGCGTTGCGTCACGCGATCGGAAGCGCGCACCTGCTTCAAAGCAAGATTTATCGACCGCGATTTTTGCTGGTTTGTACACTCGACGACAAAAATAAAAATTAACACAAATGACATATAGTGAAAATAAATATTACAGTTACTATTTTCCCTCTTTCTCGAGTAAGGTAAATTACCAACGATCGAAAAGATCGACGATTATTTTAGCTACAATAGAAGTTGTTAGCAAATTTATAATTGTACCAAAGAACACATCGCAGTCAAAATGACATCATTTTGACGTCATAGTTACATCACGGCAGAAAAAGTCAACATGATGATTTTTGGTTACAAAATTTGACTGCTTATTGACGTCAAGAAAAAGTCTTACTGTATAGTAGTATGCATGGGGATTCAGTATAGTAAATTTTTTTTACCGTGGTATTAGAAGAGGATATTAAAAGCAGATCACATATATTCATTCAGTGAAATACATATGAAACAAATTTATTAAATACATATGTTAAATATACATGCATTATATAACATATATATATATATATATATATATATATATGTATATTTGTATATCACATGCGCGCAATATATATTAATATATACTTACAAAACTACATACATACTTATTTTTTCTTTTTTGCACATTGTTTTTTGCATCATATTGTTATAAAAGAATATTAAAGACTAGTATTAAAGACTGGAAAATTGAAACTAAAATTATATATTATATGCGAAGAAAAAAGTCGTCTATGTCTCAAATAACAAAAAGCGTAAAAGAATGATTTTGAAAAGTAAACAGTTAATACAAACAAAAGCGATACGCCTTTATTGCACATAGACTATTAATTAAGGTAAAAGTAAAAAAAAGTCAGCATTTTCTGCACCAAATGTACAAAGGACAAACTAAAAAAGGCACTAATCTTATTTTTATATAGTATAACGTTCAAAAATAATAAAAATTGTTTGCATTTATACCACATGCTGAGCACTGGTGCTAAACCAACGTTTCACGTAATCTTCAGGCTTCTTTAAGTCGACTGTTTTACCAAATTTCTGCAGAATAGCAGCTGTAAGGAAACATATATATCACTATTCAACAAACTTGTCTCTTTTGAAATACAACGATAAAGTGTTATTCAAGGAGGTACACCACAGCTGAAGATATTAAAATATCTGTTTTATTTTATTATTAAAAACACAGCTTTTCACTTGTATTAACAATATAGAAAAGTGGTGACCATCCTCTACTTAATTTTTATAATATTTTATAATATTTATCATAAAGAAATTGATCCAAATTGATGCAGAAAAAAATGATAACAATTTTTAATTAATTTAAAGAAAAATTAAATTACAGAATCCATTTTAATAATTAATTTAAAAGATTATAAAGAATAATTAGTTAATGTAGAATAAACAGTTACAAATAATTTAGTCAACACATTTTCAACAAGTAAATTATTCACCTTGTATAGCCTCATACGTTTTACTCTTGTTGAAAGCTATTTTGGTTTTCTGAGTACCTCCCCAACTAATAGATCTGGATAAGGAATTCGTGATCACTTTCGGGAGTACAGACTGCAGAGCAGCAACTTCTGAATCTTTGTTTTTCATTTTTGCCGCAAAGACATCTACCTGTAGGTATAATTATAATTTTATAAATGAAATAGCATTATAAATATTATTTTAATCTTATTGATACAGTAACAGGGCGCAAACGGAAAAACATAATTTTGGGGAACTAAAAATCAAGCAGACTGCTAAAATATATTTACCACGTATGTAAATGCATCGTCATCTGCGAGAATTTCTTCCAGTTTTTCCCACTCCTCTTCTGTACGTAGAGGAAATGCTGGGATTCCGTGTGGTCGCTTCAATTTTATTTCTTCTGGAAAAAGTTTTTTTATGATACGGTCTAACTTAAGTTCCAAGTTGTCGAGCTTGAGGCGTTCTTCTTCTTGAATTTTGACAATATTGTCAAGAACGTCCCACATCCACATGATATCTGTGCTTTCTGGAAATAATAGGAAATGTAGTTTATTTAATCGATTTCATTCTCATCTTAAATTGACATGGAAATGAAAAAAAGTACTTACTGTCATTTCTTTTTCCCTTCTTGCGGGAGAAGTCGCCAGAGCCTTATAAAAAATATATCGTGTATAGTTAAAAACAAATTAAATAGTTAGGAAAAAAAATAAAACATTATTTTCACCTCTCAAGAACGATTTTACGGTATTTCTCTTTACTGAGTTATCCCTATTAGCAAGGTCTTGCTGTGCAGACCTGTGTTCCGTCAAGTTCTGCATATCATTGCTATCACTAAGTTCATTATTGCTTTGGAAAACTTCACTTTGGTCCCTTTCACCTCCCAGCTCATGCAGTGAAGAGGAAATTTTAGACTCTGTTGACGTTTGTGTTGCGGGCAGCATCTCTGAATCAGAAGTCATATCTAAAAAAAATTGAGAAAGTGTAATTATAGATTGTATTGTCTAACTCGCAAGAATTCCAAAGCTGGCTGAAATACTATCACATTTTCTCTTTGAACTCATTACACATTATGGATGAATAATGGAAATAAGCAAAATGTATTGAATAGTGTAAATGACCAGCTCTGCAAGTGTTCGTAACAGCGAATGAAAAGGAAATGTTCACCCAGCATGGGGACAAAGTAATCCAAGAAGCATCACAGAAATACTCTCGTGAAAAGAAGGAAAAACTCACCGTCAACATTCAATGGGGATTGACACAAGTTTTTGGAGGCATGAAGATCTGCATTGGAAAAATCAGTAGCATTTGCATTTTCTGTATCTGCAGGGCTCTTTCCACAATTACGAAGAATATCTGTAGCAATATAAGCCAATTATAAGGCATTAACATTACTCATATAAATATAATATGATAAAAATGAGGGGGCATATTCACATGAGTCATGTCAGTCAAAGATTTAATTTGTTACCTTCCGATTGTGATTTTTCAAGAAACACTTTTTTATTTACTGCTTTGATAAGTTTCTTTGCGGTCAAGACTTTTCTTTTTGTATTCGAATTAATTCCGTTGCCCTTCGATGCTTTTATTGGATGAGAAACTTGGGCTTTCAATGCAGCGAGCTGCTCTCTGATATTTACTGCAGGAGCTGGTACACTATTTACTTGAGAGACATTCTGGCACTTTTCACGTTCCTCGCTTTTTGTACGTTGCATTTCTCGACGGGGTTCTCTTGCAACAGGCCGTTTACATTTTTTACGCATATTTTCCGATTCCCGATCGTCATCATCAGAACTCTGACTAACATCATCAGAACTCTGATTCTGAAATTTGACTGGAGGTTGACGCTTCCGCGGCTTCTCGTAATCAGTCTCTATGTTGGAGTCAATGGGTTTATCTTCGGCGGCCAGTTTAACAGCTTTACTTGCAAGGTTAAACGTTTCTAGAAGCATGAAAAGAAACAGTATAATTCAGTATCTATAAGAAAATCCAATACATTACAGTTAAGCTCGTATTAGATTATGAATTAGGATTGAGATTGAATTAAAATTTTACCAAACAGAGTAAAGTTTATTAAACTTGGGATTTTTTCGTATTGAGTTTTCTTCATTATGATTCGTCAAATTTCAATCTAATTTCAATCTTAAACCATACTCTGATACAGACTTTAGGCTATATACTTACTGTAACTGTGCAAAAAGTCAACGTTACATTCTTCCCAGTCTTCTTTCACATCCACAAGAGACATTACCAGTCTCGTAAAGCATTTTGTTTTAGGAGGATACACGACAGTCTCTTTAGATTCATTTAGCCATTTAGTTGCCACCACGCATGTACCACCATCCGGCCAAACAACAACCGAGAACTGTTATAAAACAAAGAAGCAAATAAAATAAATAGGAAATACTTTTATTCGTCTTGATAAATTCCACGAGCAATAAAAATTTATTTTTACTAGTAAAACATATATATAGTACAGCTGACAAGAGCACATTCAGAGTGGCATATACGTCAAGCTCAAAAGAAAAAATTAAAAAATGCAGAAAGTTTAGAAATTGTTTCATCTAAAAAGTTCTAAAGCGAAAGTGTAAAACATTGACGCCCAGTTTACATCGCCCATGCTTAAGAAAGGCATCCCATCTTCACGTTGCATTAAGTAAGAGGAAAGGTAAAGGGTTCTTACAGATGAAATTTTACTGTAGTTTAGCGAAATGTCTCACCCTTACTTTATTGTGACCCAGCATGAACGAGCGGAATACACAGATAACTATCATTGGCATCAGGAATGAGAATGCATTTCTGAAGAACTTGATTAATAGGCCAGATTTTTTCTGTTTCCTCAAGTTGCGATACCTTACAGATACCTATGTCTGTGGAATTGATAGGAAATGTAAAGAAGTCACAAATGTTCTTAAATCTGTGTCCATGTAAAGAAATTCGTGTGCCACGAAAGGGACAAGTAATTTTTGAGAGGACGACTACTTCGCCATTTTTTGACTGAAAGCAACAATCTGCTTCTGATGTGGAAAGTGTCATTCCGTGCATGGTCAATTTAGAATAAACCTCTACTTCATCATCTCCCTCGTACTGTTTTTTACTTAATTCGATTCGCTCTTCGTCAATCATATCTTTTTGCATGAGTCGGCCTCCTCTTTCAAAGTCTCTGTTGTAAAGTTGCTGAAGAGGCATGTATGTTGCTCTTAGGCAACGTTTGATGACACCCAAGTAATTTTCATACTTAAATGCACTAAAATTACTAAGAGCCTGGTAAGTGCGACATTCTGTAGGTAAATAGCAGAGTACATGAATATAATAAGTAACAAATTCATTTCCAAAAATGTCCGCAGCATGACGAATAAATGCACGGAGGAGAACGTCTGCTGTTTCAATCATACCATCCTTTTCAAGTAAAAGTGGGCTCGAGAGAATGTACACTCCGCATTGTAGAAATAAGTAGTTTGTGTATAGATTTTGATCCAACGAGCTGAAAATTTTTATTCCATCATATAAAAGAATTCTCCTAAACTCTGATGCCTTATATTTTCCGAAATAAGATAAGTTACGAGGTCTTCTGCAGAATTCGACCGGAATATGAGGTTTAATTTCGTCAATTGCCGCGGAAACAGCAGCCCTATCGCGCGGTGAAATTTTTCCTCGATTTGGCCCTCGTTTTCCCAAAACAAACTCCAGCCACCGCTGAAAAACTCCGCTATACAAAAAATGCATTTCGTCCAATCTAAACTGAGACACCATACCGATCCCAATTTCTTCTAACGGAAACGTGATGTCAGGAATATGATGGCCAGCGTCTACTTTGGATCTAAATTCTTCATCGTTACGAAGACATGCATCATGGTCCAAAAAAACTTCCCTGTTCTTATAGCGGACTCCAGTAACATGGCACTTTTCACAAGCTTTTCTTGACGTGTGCCCTTTAATGCATTTTATAAATGCTCTTGCGGGAGCATCCAAAACAAAATTTCGTACTTGAACACGATACGTAGTGCCTTGAAACATAATTCCATTTATCATTAAATTGGAAAGTTCGTCAACAAATTGCCGCAGGAAAGGTTCTAGTGGAGGTTTACCCTCCCCATAGTAAACTGCTATTATGAATGGCTCCTTCTCATCCACGAGGCAACCCAAGATTGGCCAGAATGCATCACGGGAACTAGGATATAATTCCAGACCGTCAATGTTAATATCAAACTGGATACTCTCTCTATTAGATAAGTATTTTTCTGACAGTCGAGGTACAACACTGCAACCAATTCCTTTATACTAGAATTTGCCGTTTTCCATATTCACAAGATTTGTACTCCTAGGAGTTTTCAGTAAAGTTCGGTAAGTCCTTGGTAGAGTAGGGAAAACAATTTGCAATACTCGGAGAAGTGCATCAATTTTTTTGCAGGAGACTCCTCTTATGGCCCATTTCTTCAATTCGCAAAGAATATAAGCATTTCTCTCTTCATTATCATCGCGTAAAGCACACAGATCTTCAATGTCAACTACTTCGAGAGCATCAATAGGCTCGGAGGAATTTGATACATGCTCAGCGTCACTGCCACAAGAGCTGCTCTCCTGTGTCTCGGTAATGCTAGATTCTTTGTCACTCTCCGGCTGATTTATTATATTTTCCAGCTCATCATTATACCTATCACAGCCAAATTCTCCGTCGTGTTCATTTTCGCTCTCAACTGTACTGCTGCTCGAGAGAGGCGAGAAGGAATGTACGACACTCCCAATATGCTGCTGCAGATTCACAACACGCAGACGATTTGCTGCCCTCGTGTCAGCCTTACGGCTGATTTTTCTTTTACGATTCTACATAAAATACAAAGAAGAAAAAGTATACAGAGAAGATGCTTTCACATGATAATAACTTCAAAACTTCAGTTATTAAAAGTCTGTAAAAATTTTTCAATGTGCATTTGCCACTTATTATAGTTAAGCTTCTTTAAAATTAAGGCTTCACTATACAACTGATCAAAAATTGATACATTAATTTGAATATATTAATGACTTCACACATAAAATGCATCAAATTTTGAAATTTTAAAGCGTATCGTCTCTAGATATTTGTGCATTGTAATTTAGAATCGTGTTTGACAATTTAACTGTTATAATTTTCGTTTTATTTAATTAATTTATGTCTGTCATATCACATATATATTACATTATTTTAATATCTTTTTAATATCTCTAAGCGTCTCTAACATATATAAAAGATGTTATATAATAACTGCATTCCAAACATAATAAATTAAATAATAAAAGTAAAGTTTAAGATTTTGTAGTAATAATGTACGAATATTAAAATAGGATGTACCTACCCAGAATGATCAAAAATTGTTTTCATACAACGTTTATGTATTTAGACATTAATGCAATAAATTGTATAGTAATTGCCATAACACAGTCTACACTTGCAAAAATATCAATAATCTTTAAAAAATTGTGTACAGAACATATAATATATGTCTCAATAATTAATTAAAATTGTCTTAACATAATAATTTGACGAATTAAAATCATGAATAAACATAAAAAAATTTTGATTTTATTATATCTCGACACACAATTTTAATAATTAAATTATTATGTTTAAACGTAATATAAAAGAATTCAATAAATTAAACTAATGTTGCAATTATGTCAACACACGAATATACTAATAAATTATATAATAATAAACCAAAATGTTCTATAATATATTATAATTATGTAAATAAAACTCACGTGTAGACAAAGTAAGAATTCAATAAATAAACTGATGCGAGAAATTATGTTAAAACGTACTAATAATAACTTATATATAATAATTAATTAAAGTATGCTTTAAAATAATAATTAATTGATAAATTAAAATTATGTCTACACAAAAATAATACCAAACTTCTAGGGCTTACAATTAGATGCAATAAAAAAATAAGAAATTACATGTAGGAAACATATGTAGGAAACATATATATATATATATATATATATATATATATATATATATATATATATATATATATATGTATGTATAAAGACTCAGGTATATTAAAAGGATAACGGTATTCTCGGGTATTCTATTATAACAAACATGGTCAATCTCGAGCTCTGGAATCACGACGCTTCCCCTTTAATTTCTATCCACGAAGAGTGGAGGAAAGAGGCTTCTTTGTTGAATGAAGTTGAGCAGGCATAGTTGTGGCTTTGCAGTCGGGAGCTGGAGGTTGACCATGCCTGGTCTATAAGATCATGAAATGCATGAATCATCCTTTAAAGAAGCCTTATGCAAAACTTTGAATTTAACCTTAATTATTACTTGAATATAGAATCCCTTACAGAAATTTTATACTGTAAGTGATTATTTGGCTAGTGATTAATTACTTATTTCGAGTATTAAAAGTACTGTTTTTAATTGTTTTAATACTCAAAATAAATAATTAAGTACTAGCCAAATAATCACTTACAGTATTAAATTTCTATAAGAGAACACGAACAAAAGTTAAATAGAATACAAGAAAAAGTCGTATATACACAGCTTTACTTACTGGTTTTTCTGTATCCATCTCGATATTTTCGATGAAATATATATTATAATGCTCTCACAAAGGCCGTTTAGACGTACGTTAAGATGGCGAGAATCGAGAATGGGCGGGAAGCGATACCGTTGCAAATAGGTTAGTATTTATCGCGTGACGCGTGCACATGATGACAAGAGCGACGCGATGGCAAATCTGCTAATCTTTCGTAACAAAACGTAGCGAAAGATGATTGGCTGCCGTATATAGCGAACGTATGAATACGCGGCAAATTCAAATGTGCTAATCTCATTTTAGAGATTTCGAGTTGCGATAGAGTTTTCCGATTGTATTGTTTAAAAAGTAATTCTATTGTGAAATTAATTACCACAATACGATGCTCAATAAACAGAATTTTTACAGACTGAAAAATATATAATATATGCTTATACGTATATACTAAAAGTATAAATTAAAATATGATAATGAGAATTGGCTATTTATAATTGTAAATAAAATTAGCATTAAAGTAAAATATATTAGGGGACACACATTTATGAATAATATAATTATGAGAACTTTTTACTATATACTTCCAGAAAATTTTCAAGCATGGCATGTGGATTTTGAGAAATCATTTTTTCGTCATTGCAGCATATGCACAGACCAGAACATTATATTATATATAGGTATATATATATATATATATATAATATCGTGCATGTGAAAGTCACAATAAAGTCAAAATGATGGTAAAATAATGGTAAAACATTTTGATATAATTTTGACTTTATTATGACCGTCAATTTTTCGTCATACAGAAAATGCGTGACCATTTTGAATCAAAATACAGTCATTTTGACTATTTGTTGACTTTGGCGTGTTACGTGTTGTAAGACTATCGCATAATTTCGAGCTGAATTAAAAGTTACTGAATTATTAATTTATTGTTAATTTTGCTAAAATGTCATTTACTTCTATGTTCGTGACATTCTTCAGATCGATACTGATCCTTTTACAGCATATTACACATTACCATCTAATTTAAAGCTTCAACTTCAAGGTTCTTAATATGTCATACAAAAAATATGTAACTTTTATTCACGTGACTTTGCTTGAAAAATATCAAATAAAGCTATTTTTAATTATTTTTTAAGTAGTTTAAAACAGTAAACAGTACTCGTAGAAGATAAAGATGGGGTTGAACTGCGTGCGGCCTGTCGATCCCTTGTGTGCCGTGATACCAAGAAACATTGGGCTCGATGCTTCATTAGTTAGAGAATCAGGACTGCCGATTATCTTTTTGATTGGA